GTGCGAGTGATCAATTTTCGGTATGATTTCGGGGCTACGGAAGAATGAGCTTGAAAAAGTGGGTCGTTCGGAGGAGACAAATGCCGCTCGGCTCGTGACGTGCACACAAGTAACCACTTGATCGCTCGCGAGTTTGCCAAAATCATCATACATGCGTGCATGTGCGTGTAAATGTGCTGCAGTAAGCAGTCGAGACGAGGGTGGTAAGATGGAGGCTGACGACCGATGGCTTGAATTTTTCGCGTCCGGCCCCTCCTCGCGTGTTTTTTTTTTTTTTTTTCTCTCCCCCTTGCTACGTACTTACGGTCCAGTTGGCTGTTTTTTCCCCTTCCTCTCTCCGGCAGCTGCCCTGCGCGTGATTTATCGGTTATGATACCTTTTTCTTTTTTATCGGCCAGCCGGTAGGATCGGTAACGTGTATCGGACAAAACGGCGACTGGCCCTTCCCCTCCTCTCTCTTCCACTGCATCTATTTTTTTTTCTTTTTTTTTTTTATCGTTGAACAGAGAAGCCTGTACACCCCACGACCTTACGCTGTATACGCGTGCCCGAGAAGGGCGTTTGCAGAGAAGGGAGAATCGATGGGCCGTTGCGTTCGCGAGAATGGATTTTTCGACGGTGCATTATATGGACTGGAGTGCGTACAAAAAAATTATTCTATTATCGGGATCTTTGGAAATCCGTGCGTATCATATGGAGTGTGGGTTCGACGCGGAGCTTTCTCTCATGTTTGACGGTGAAGCTTTTATCTTCAAACAGGAAAACTTGGTGGGAACTTCTTCTCATATCTTAATGACTAGTAGGTTTTTTTTTTCTTTTTTTCTCACAAATGGCGAGGAAAAAATCAAGCTGTTACAGTGTTGAAATAACGAGGGGCAAAAAAAAAAAAATAAAAGGACACTTGATTAAATAACACGTTATTGACCGACTCGCCCCTTTTCCGACTATACTAACAACACCCATTTGGAGGAAAAGAAGCCCTTCCATCGGGCAATCTATGCAGCCTCTGACCCACTAAGATCCTTCGAACCTCCCGAGTGCTCCCAATTTTTTTCTAAAGCAAAATAAAATGTTAATGTTATGTAACTCATAAATGTTTACTTATAAGAAAGAAAAAAAAAAAAAAAAAAAAGCTTGCAAAAAAAAAGATCCCCGCGTGCTCATCAGGCAGAAGCACGGAGAACCCCGGCTGCCGCGTCTTGCGAGGGCTACCATGTAACATATACATGTATGTGTTCATTATAATACACGTGTGCAGTTGAGCACCGCTCGCCGCAGCTGCCGCGCTTCCACGACCCATATATATATATATACCTACATACACGTGCACATAGTACTCTCTCCCTCGACGCCGCAGCGGCCGGTATTATCTCTCCGCGCGTAGCCTGTGCCCTCGGCCCTCCCTCTGCGCGCTTATTTTCGTCGTGTCTGTGTACGTGTACACCTATATGCACGGCGACGTCATTGCACGTTCTCGTATAGCTAGCTATAGGGTACATATATATGTACGGCCACATGATGGCTCTGTCGGTAGCGTGTCTGCCTACAGATCTTGATGGCCGGGGTTCAAATCCCACTCTGGACAAAAATTTCATCATTGAATGAGGTTTTTTTCTGGATGGGAGTTGTACTTCAATAAACCTACCGATCCATCTACCGTTTCCTCCTACTGTTATTAAACCCAACGTATGGCTAAATACACTTTATGGTGTCAAAATAGCCATGTCTGAGCCCTTAAGGGGCGATGATGAATATAAAAAAAAAAAAAAAATATATATGTACGAGTATACGTGGGATGGGGGAGATCCGCAGTGGCTCGCGCCGTCTTCGTCCCACGTGGCTGGATCGCGAGAGCGCGTACTGCTCCCGGAATGAGGTTGACGAGCCGGACGAGGAAATGGGGGGGGGGCTAGGCTATATATGCGTGCATATATAACACCGCAGCAGCAGGGAAACGACCGACCCCCCGGTGGGGGGGGTTGAGCCTTCTCTTGGCGACGAGCTTCGCTGTTCGATGGACGGACAGGCGAATGGAGAGGAGAGGGTGAGTTTGGAGGCAGGAAAAACAACTGGTCTTTCTCTTCCTTTTTCTCTCTGGTGGATCACGAGGTGTTTTTGTGCCGCGCGGAGGAGGGAAGAGAAAAAACAAATAGCAGAGCTGGCTTCTCTCTCTCTCTCTCTCTGGAAGGAAAAGAACTAGTGGAGGGTGACACCTTTCGGCTTCTCGTTACGCTCCGAAAATCCCTCCGAGGACAAGGGGGGAAAAATAAAGGTGCTTGCAAACTCATGACTTGAGCGAGTGGAAGGTCTCGTAGAGGATGCTTTTTTTCTTTTCTTTTCATCTCGACAGTTTTTTTTTTTTTTTTTTACTTTTCATTTGAGGGTACGTATGATTACTTTGTAAATGTTTTTGAACTGGTTTTCCGGATCTTACTGAGTCCTTGGTAGGAAAATTTGATTCGCCACATGAAAGCGCCATCCAACCGGAGCTACCCCATGTAACCCCTATACGATAGTGCTTATGTGACGAAAATAACTATTCTAAATCACTTTCATCTTAAAGGTCTATGGTGAATTACTCCCAATTTTTAATTAACAATGACATTGTATAGCGCAAACAATAGTCACGGTGTTTTTGTGGCATTCACGTGGCTCCAAGTACGAGGTGGAGCTTTCACGTGTAAAGCTCATCTAGTCGAAAAACAAACAGGGTCGAGTGAGCTTGAAAAAGTTAACGCAGAAGTTACAGACGCTTGGGAAAGAGTAAAGGTATAGTATACGACCGGCAGTGCTCATAAACGCGTTTACAAAAAGTGCCCCAGTACACAACGTGTCGCTTTTTCCCCACTATCCAATTCCAGGATAATCTCTCCCTTATTCTCCGCTTGTACCGACGGGCTTTCACTTTTCGCTAAATAAATGGCCCCACCTTTCTCTCTCTCTCTCTATATATCTCTCCTGCTCCGATGCGCTCTTAACCTTCAAACCCAGTGAACTTCAAAAGCCGAGTTTTCGCTTCTCTATGCAATTTCGCCTAACCTGTACAATGCCATTCAGCCACTATTCACGAACCACGTGCTGACACTGCAATTTATTGTAATGTGTATCACTGCACAAAGTCCTAATCGGTTTTCAAAGGTGACTCATCATTTCACAGTCGCTTTGAATATTCTGAAAAGGGTAAAATTACAATAAATGTTTGCACTGTAATTTAAAAAATTACATTTTTTAAAATAATCTCACAGCGCGAAACCGACGTTACAATTCATGTAGAAAAAACAAAAAAATCTACTCCCCGAAATGTTTAAATCAAGTTGCGAAATTTCCGTGCGTTCTAACAGAAGTACGTTGAACCGTAATCGAACCCTTCACCCCATCATCAACGAAACTCAGCGTGCAAAATAAAGTCCAAGTTGTTTATCCCCCCTTCGAAAAAGTCGTATACCTCTTCTCAATGTCAAGATCCGCTTGCTCTTCCTTTTAGCAGCGCCACAACAATAGCCATGTATATAGAGCGCGGTCTCGAACACAAGTAGTAACAGCCCGTTATTCGTCAGACTGCAGTAAAAGAAATAAAGAACCAACACAGATCCAAGCCAAGCGAGAATCTACGTGCACATGCACACGCAGTCGAGTTGGGAGGAGCAAGGGGTGTGAGGCAGAGAGAGAGCGAGAGAGAGAGAGAGAGGAAGTCAAGGACGACAGGGGAGACTACATGCATAGCGCGTGGCGGCAGCATCAGAAACAGCTCTGGCAGTAAAAAAAAGGCCAGTCTCGGCGCAGACTCGAAAAAGTATGGAGAAATAAAGGAATGGAAGAAAAAAAATGCAGAGAGACTATGTGTACCTATATACATACACGTGCACACATAACAAACACGGAAAACGGCTGATCGGAGGGATCAGCTGATCGTCAGCACGCACGTGCCGACTCCATTACTACTACTATACTACAAAAGAGAGAGAGAGAGAGAGAGAAAGAGCGCGTTCTCGCCCCCCACTCTCCGGCCTTTTTCTCTTCCCCTCCCCTTGTTCCCCGCGCCATATCCTGCTTTTACGGTGTGCGGATGTAGGCTGGAGCACACATGTGTACCTTTACGCTAGCGTATGACCTGTATTTCCGCAAAAGAGAAATACGAGTGTATTCATTGAGAAGAGAAGGAGAGGAGGAGGTAAAAGAGTGGGAGAAAAGCGTCGGCAAATATATCTACGTATATGTGTGTGCCTATACCCGCAAATTCACATCCAGAATCCAGATGCGTGTGTACATGTATGGGCTGTGTATTGCGTACGTTGGTTAACGACACCGCACGAGTTCTTCGTCCCTCTCTACCCATCCATTTCGCACGAAACGTTACTCTCCTTTTCTATACACATCCATCTTCTTGCGCGTACATGCTTTTATATACGTATATAATGGGTTAAGAAAGCGAGTGAGAGAAATAAGGAGGGAGAGGGAACTGGAACGAGGCGCACTCGGCTTTTCAATGTCAATGTCATCTTCCGCTCCTCCGAGCTCCGAGCGAGAAACGGAGGGAATTTCACGGAGAATATAAATCCCTCTTTCTCTATCTCTCTTTGCGCTCCCCCCCTCTCTCTCTCTGTCTCCTCTGTAAGGAGCTTTACCACGGCAACACGGGAGAGCGGGGGAAAGAAAGAGGGAGAGGGAAACCGACATCTGAGGCTGCACCGCTCTTATATACATTATGTAATTTCATTCAAGTTCGCCGGCCGGCCGGTGTCTCTCTTTTTTCCCCCTCCCCACACCGTCTTTTTACATATCTCTCTTTCTCTTTCTACCTGTGGTGGTTTATACAGCTATGATTGTATACGTACGTATACGGCACTTGCAACAGAGTCACGTGTTTACATTTTCTACCTCTCTCTCGTGTACAGCAGCCCCTCCGTTTATCCCTCTCCTCTCGGCCCCTTCCACCCCTCGCGGAATTTCTTGCGTCGTCTGCTACTCTCGGTGGCGGCAACGGCTCACTCTCACTCGTCATGCAGTTTAATGTAGGTCTATGTGCGGGCGCAGCCAGTGAACCGGTTATTGTTGTTATTATGCCCGTACCGGCATTTCACCGGTAGGAATTTCCGATGACGACATGAGAGATGTTTTGGGTAAGGGTGGAGACAGAGGGAGCTAAAAGCTTGATAACAAGCGCCGCGGTTTGGGTTTTTTTATCATTTCGTTATTCCGGGAGTGGCCTACCAACCGATGGTAACCTTACCCACTGTCAATGATGATCGGGTCATACGAGCATTTTAAGAATGATGGTGATTCATTCAGATCGGCAAATAATCATTCGTTGGCAATTAATCTTTACACGTTATGCAAAGAGAAAAATGCAACATTAAAATATATGATTGTTAAATGATTTTGCAAAATTTTTCTGAAAACATGTATTATTTAGCAGTATTGTGGTAAATTAATATTTTCATCTATAAAATCCATGCTTTGGAGACGTTAGGGTTGATAAACTTCATTTATATACATCAGGGATTATCCTCATAAAACTAAAAAATCCCAACACGTACACTTTTAACTTGTGTCTGACCAAAAACTTACGTTACTACTTATTTTACTGCATTAACCACCTAACACGCGTAGGATCATCCGGAAGAGACCATACGATCATTGTCTAAATTTAAGAGATGTAAACATTCTTGAAAAATGCAATAAGTCGAACTCCTTTGAATTCGTTTATGAATCGCTTTATAAGAAATCCATAAAAATTGTTGCGATCCGTCCTATTCTACTTGAAATCGTTACTTTCCACGATAATTTTACACATTCAACCGTATAACGTTAATGTACTTCGACCTCACAAACAACTCCCCAAACTGCCATGTCATTCTAAAATCTTTTAATTCGTCAGGTACTAAACACAAACATGTTTTCTGATTACAGCCCAAGCACCTGTATTCGCCCACGTACTTGTTGCGCATCAGACGGGGCAACAGCTTCGAGCTCGCAACATTTCTCGTGTCTCTCCTCCTCGGTCTCGGTTACAACGCTTACGTCGTCAGTGGCTATGCCTCCAGGGAGCAAACGCTTTGCGATCGGCGGATGCTGCCTTGCCCGTACTTGCCTCGTGAAAAGGAAGCCGAGCCTCCGCCACCATCCGTCGATAAGTCCAAGTACAGACCGAAATCGCCGCCGGATTTTAAGAGCAAGTTTATCGAAGAGATGGAAGCTCGGGAGCGCAGGAAGGTTGAAGCCGAGCTAGAGGAACGGGAGAATCAGCGCATACGAATGATAACCGTGAGAAATTTTGTTTTTTTGTTTTTTAACTTTATCCTTTTTAGCTTGAAAATGTTTCCTTTTAGTTTATGTTTTTACTTATTTTAAACGAGGGGTATTATCGAGTATATTTTCAACAAACGAAATAAGACTAACAATGCGTGTGACCCGCTTAGGACATCGAAAATTACGGAACAAGTGAAAACAGTCAACGTATGGTCAGACGCGGTAATTTTCGAGACCCCCTGCTTTTTTATCTGGTTTTAGTCCAAAGATCATATAAATCAAATATATTTCATTGTTGTTGGGACACGACAAATTAGGGAACAAGTGAAAAAAACAGTCAACGTATGGTCAGACGCGTTGATTTTCGAGACCCTCTGCTTTTTTATCTGGTTTTAGTCCAAAGATCATATAAATCAAATATATTTCATTGTTGTTGGGACACGACAAATTAGGGAACAAGTGAAAAAAACAGTCAACGTATGGTCAGACGCGTTGATTTTCGAGACCCTCTGCTTTTTTATAGGGTCTTCTTTCATATAGACCACTTGAGTCAAATGTATTTTCAATGTTTATCAAAGGAATCGAAATAAAAATATGTAAAAATAAGTAAATAAACGCACCAGGAGCACGAGCGACCTCCCCCGGACCGTTACTTTGGCCAAAGAATCCACGCCTGGGTGCTCCTGCTGCCGAACCTCCCGGACACTTCGGTGGGGCCGGCCTCCGAGATAACGGAGTCCCTATTCATCGAGCCGTCCACCGGCGTCTCGTATCCACCCCGAGAACCCGCCACCGGAAACCTGTACCTCGGTATCGAGAGCATTTGGAACAACCGTAATTACTGGGTGAACATGCAAAACTGCACGGAGGCTTGCACGGGACTCGAGTGGGATTTGTCGGACGTCAAATTGTGGGAACACTTCCTGGCCGGGGAGCCGAGGGAATTGCGAAACGTCGAAGACGACGAGGACGAGGAGGTACAAGTGCGCCGGGACTTTCACATGGTCATGCCTGCGTCTTACGTCGAGCGCATCGAGATACCGTACGAAGGTCGGTTTCATAGTACTACGAGTCGATATACCTTCAACGCGTGAATACTTTCAATTGTGCAGATTACGAGCTGCGATATCCGAACGGGAAGAAGACCATTTATTTCAAAAAGTGCAGGGTCGACTTGTATGGTCCGTATTTACGGCCGGACGGTTTGATCGAAAGAGTCACTCAGTACCGGGAGTACGAGTATAGGACGAGGACATTCATCAACGAATACTTTAGCAATCGCAGCGATGGCCTCGTGAGATCTGACAAAGATGTGGTCAAGGAAATCGTCAGCGATCATTACGCGTTAGGCCGGAAGGATTTTTGCAAAGGTACAGAATGGCACTCGGTGAATATACTTTTTTTTGTTTGTATGTAAAAATTTTGGATTTTTTTTTTTCAATTCTTTCAGTCCATCAGTATTTCGCAAATAGCTCGGGTACCGTTGACGAGGAGCGAACCATCGAGTTCTACGCCGGCAGAAGATTCGACGAGCTCCGTCGTATGAAAATGAATCCATTTTACGCATCGCAAGACTACGAAAATCGTGATGATCGTCTTTACAATCGGTTATCACTCGCAATCACTTTTTATTATTCACTATTTATCGTTTACAGTAAAATCACCAACACTCATGATAACGTGTTTCTTTCTAGCTTTGTCGAATTTTCTCCCTACAGCGAGGAGTACGTGGAAAATAATATTCATTATCGAAATCTAGCAGTAAGTTGTCAATAATATCACGTTTTGAAATAGTATAACTGCATAGTTCATATTTTTTTTTAGAAAATCGTAGAAAAGTTTCACAGAAACGAAGAGTTGCCGGCGAGCAAAGACGTCGCGGTACGTGAGTTCAATTTCGTAGACAATGAGATTCGTCTGACTTATCACTACGACGTGGGCGAGTACACGCAAGCCACTCGGACGTTCATAAAGCCACCTGTGACTGAAAGAGGAGATAAGCTCGTTTTCACGCCCGACATGACCTACGCGTATAATGTAAGCTTAATTCTCTTATTTTGCAAACGGATGAAAATTTGTTTGGATTATTTATTCCGTGCACGCTAGCCCAATCCGCTAGCTTTGCCCGAAAACTTTGACGATTTAATCGAGGAGTTGGAAAAGCTGTTGAACGAGGAGGAACTTTCGGTAATGCAAGTCCGAAAGGCCGAGTCTGAAATATTTAAGTTCCTGTCGGTCAGGGCAAAGGAGTACTCGAAACCTGAACTCGAGGTTTACGCGTTCGATCCCATCAGGAACGAGGAAGCTTTAGCTGGCCTGATGGCAAAGGTGTGCAAAATAATAACAAACGAGGATGAAAAAAAAAAAAAAATAATCATAATTACTTGATCGTTGCTCATGAAAAACTTTTTAGGTGGAAAAATTGAAGGCTCAAAGTAAACGAGAATTGGAGGGAAAAGTCGATTTTTTGCAACCGTATTTTGCGCGAATCGGTAATCTGAAGTACCTAACACTGAAGCAAGCGACCGAAATCAGAGATGCCTGCCTGAATGATTTCAAGCAGGCTCTGGTCAACAGGGCCAATCACATTTTACGAGAATTCGAGAAATGCAGCGATGAATTGGAAAATTGGCAATCAGCGCTTACCAATGTATGACATTTTTTATTTTATTTTATTTTTTCTTCTATTTAAATTTATTCATATATTACTTGTCGGCAGTCGGAGGGTATGAGCAAAGAAGAGAAAGAATCGCTGCTGGAAAAGGTCAACAAAGCTAATCTGAGACTTCGTACGCTGGAAGTGCGATTGGCTCGTCATCGCGATCTCGCGTCGTTCCGATACAACAGAGTCGTCGAGATCGTGAAATCGGACAAGCGTCTTTCCATCCTTTACGAACGTTGACTCGAAAAGTTAAAAATTCTAGAAAAAAAAAAAAAAAGGAATGGGGTTAATTTTAGGTGTTTACCAGGCGAACCCTCAATTACTTTCGTGGTCTTCCAAGTCCTCATTATTAACATTCAGTAGCGAATATGCATGGTCAAATGAAAAATGCCTCGGTACGTGTAAAAGGATCGCCTAATAATTTATTTCATTGAACAATGAACGGCGCTCGATAGATTTTGTACAGAATGTGAGTTTTTATACAAAATGTAGGTTCTTTTTTGGCTCTAATAATTTGTTTTTTCACAATTACGTTATATGACGTGAGAGTTGAGGTACTTGCAGGAGCGAACAGCTATTGAATGGACCACGAACCCATTTGACCGATGCAGTGGCCTAAATTAAACAATCAAGGTATTACGATTTTTTTCTCGTTTTCCACAATATTTTAAAAATCTTTCAATAATCACTCATCATGCATATAAATATCTATATTATACATATTTATTGTTTTTCCGTCAATTACCTTCCTCGTCGAACGTGGCAAGGGTGAATTTGCTAAGTTTATTCGTAAAACTTCCAAAATTCGACAGCATCGAATTGTCCTGTAATCTGTTGTTGGCGTTCACGTTTTCGTCCGCCGCTTCGTTCTGTTTGCTCTCCTCCACGAAGCCCGTTATCAGCGTATCCATCATTATTGCCTACAACGAAACGCATCGTATTCAACAATGAAAAAAAAATGGTCAGACGCGGTGATTTTCGAGACCCTCTGCTTTTTTATCTGGTTTTAGTCCAAAGATCATATGAGGCAAAAGGGGTGTGAGGCAGAGAGAGAGCGAGAGAGAGAGAGAGAGGAAGTCAAGGACGACAGGGGAGACTACATGCATAGCGCGTGGCGGCAGCATCAGAAACAGCTCTGGCAGTAAAAAAAAGGCCAGTCTCGGCGCAGACTCGAAAAAGTATGGAGAAATAAAGGAATGGAAGAAAAAAAATGCAGAGAGACTATGTGTACCTATATACATACACGTGCACACATAACAAACACGGAAAACGGCTGATCGGAGGGATCAGCTGATCGTCAGCACGCACGTGCCGACTCCATTACTACTACTATACTACAAAAGAGAGAGAGAGAGAGAGAGAAAGAGCGCGTTCTCGCCCCCCACTCTCCGGCCTTTTTCTCTTCCCCTCCCCTTGTTCCCCGCGCCATATCCTGCTTTTACGGTGTGCGGATGTAGGCTGGAGCACACATGTGTACCTTTACGCTAGCGTATGACCTGTATTTCCGCAAAAGAGAAATACGAGTGTATTCATTGAGAAGAGAAGGAGAGGAGGAGGTAAAAGAGTGGGAGAAAAGCGTCGGCAAATATATCTACGTATATGTGTGTGCCTATACCCGCAAATTCACATCCAGAATCCAGATGCGTGTGTACATGTATGGGCTGTGTATTGCGTACGTTGGTTAACGACACCGCACGAGTTCTTCGTCCCTCTCTACCCATCCATTTCGCACGAAACGTTACTCTCCTTTTCTATACACATCCATCTTCTTGCGCGTACATGCTTTTATATACGTATATAATGGGTTAAGAAAGCGAGTGAGAGAAATAAGGAGGGAGAGGGAACTGGAACGAGGCGCACTCGGCTTTTCAATGTCAATGTCATCTTCCGCTCCTCCGAGCTCCGAGCGAGAAACGGAGGGAATTTCACGGAGAATATAAATCCCTCTTTCTCTATCTCTCTTTGCGCTCCCCCCCTCTCTCTCTCTGTCTCCTCTGTAAGGAGCTTTACCACGGCAACACGGGAGAGCGGGGGAAAGAAAGAGGGAGAGGGAAACCGACATCTGAGGCTGCACCGCTCTTATATACATTATGTAATTTCATTCAAGTTCGCCGGCCGGCCGGTGTCTCTCTTTTTTCCCCCTCCCCACACCGTCTTTTTACATATCTCTCTTTCTCTTTCTACCTGTGGTGGTTTATACAGCTATGATTGTATACGTACGTATACGGCACTTGCAACAGAGTCACGTGTTTACATTTTCTACCTCTCTCTCGTGTACAGCAGCCCCTCCGTTTATCCCTCTCCTCTCGGCCCCTTCCACCCCTCGCGGAATTTCTTGCGTCGTCTGCTACTCTCGGTGGCGGCAACGGCTCACTCTCACTCGTCATGCAGTTTAATGTAGGTCTATGTGCGGGCGCAGCCAGTGAACCGGTTATTGTTGTTATTATGCCCGTACCGGCATTTCACCGGTAGGAATTTCCGATGACGACATGAGAGATGTTTTGGGTAAGGGTGGAGACAGAGGGAGCTAAAAGCTTGATAACAAGCGCCGCGGTTTGGGTTTTTTTATCATTTCGTTATTCCGGGAGTGGCCTACCAACCGATGGTAACCTTACCCACTGTCAATGATGATCGGGTCATACGAGCATTTTAAGAATGATGGTGATTCATTCAGATCGGCAAATAATCATTCGTTGGCAATTAATCTTTACACGTTATGCAAAGAGAAAAATGCAACATTAAAATATATGATTGTTAAATGATTTTGCAAAATTTTTCTGAAAACATGTATTATTTAGCAGTATTGTGGTAAATTAATATTTTCATCTATAAAATCCATGCTTTGGAGACGTTAGGGTTGATAAACTTCATTTATATACATCAGGGATTATCCTCATAAAACTAAAAAATCCCAACACGTACACTTTTAACTTGTGTCTGACCAAAAACTTACGTTACTACTTATTTTACTGCATTAACCACCTAACACGCGTAGGATCATCCGGAAGAGACCATACGATCATTGTCTAAATTTAAGAGATGTAAACATTCTTGAAAAATGCAATAAGTCGAACTCCTTTGAATTCGTTTATGAATCGCTTTATAAGAAATCCATAAAAATTGTTGCGATCCGTCCTATTCTACTTGAAATCGTTACTTTCCACGATAATTTTACACATTCAACCGTATAACGTTAATGTACTTCGACCTCACAAACAACTCCCCAAACTGCCATGTCATTCTAAAATCTTTTAATTCGTCAGGTACTAAACACAAACATGTTTTCTGATTACAGCCCAAGCACCTGTATTCGCCCACGTACTTGTTGCGCATCAGACGGGGCAACAGCTTCGAGCTCGCAACATTTCTCGTGTCTCTCCTCCTCGGTCTCGGTTACAACGCTTACGTCGTCAGTGGCTATGCCTCCAGGGAGCAAACGCTTTGCGATCGGCGGATGCTGCCTTGCCCGTACTTGCCTCGTGAAAAGGAAGCCGAGCCTCCGCCACCATCCGTCGATAAGTCCAAGTACAGACCGAAATCGCCGCCGGATTTTAAGAGCAAGTTTATCGAAGAGATGGAAGCTCGGGAGCGCAGGAAGGTTGAAGCCGAGCTAGAGGAACGGGAGAATCAGCGCATACGAATGATAACCGTGAGAAATTTTGTTTTTTTGTTTTTTAACTTTATCCTTTTTAGCTTGAAAATGTTTCCTTTTAGTTTATGTTTTTACTTATTTTAAACGAGGGGTATTATCGAGTATATTTTCAACAAACGAAATAAGACTAACAATGCGTGTGACCCGCTTAGGACATCGAAAATTACGGAACAAGTGAAAACAGTCAACGTATGGTCAGACGCGGTAATTTTCGAGACCCCCTGCTTTTTTATCTGGTTTTAGTCCAAAGATCATATAAATCAAATATATTTCATTGTTGTTGGGACACGACAAATTAGGGAACAAGTGAAAAAAACAGTCAACGTATGGTCAGACGCGTTGATTTTCGAGACCCTCTGCTTTTTTATCTGGTTTTAGTCCAAAGATCATATAAATCAAATATATTTCATTGTTGTTGGGACACGACAAATTAGGGAACAAGTGAAAAAAACAGTCAACGTATGGTCAGACGCGTTGATTTTCGAGACCCTCTGCTTTTTTATCTGGTTTTAGTCCAAAGATCATATAAATCAAATATATTTCATTGTTGTTGGGACACGACAAATTAGGGAACAAGTGAAAAAAACAGTCAACGTATGGTCAGACGCGTTGATTTTCGAGACCCTCTGCTTTTTTATCTGGTTTTAGTCCAAAGATCATATAAATCAAATATATTTCATTGTTGTTGGGACACGACAAATTAGGGAACAAGTGAAAAAAACAGTCAACGTATGGTCAGACGCGTTGATTTTCGAGACCCTCTGCTTTTTTATCTGGTTTTAGTCCAAAGATCATATAAATCAAATATATTTCATTGTTGTTGGGACACGACAAATTAGGGAACAAGTGAAAAAAACAGTCAACGTATGGTNAAAAAAAAAAAAAAAAAAAAAAAAAAAAAAAAAAAAAAAAAAAAAAAAAAAAAAAAAAGAAAAAGAAATTTGGATTTTCCAAATCAATGTAAGAAAAATGGTCCTCACTTGTCTCGAGAATACTTGTAGTATTTTTATGACTCGCGCGCCGTTCTCCCGCACCGGAAACTGGAGGATCAAGCAAGGCAAGCAATCCGGATTCGTCTCGTCGGACGGCTTAAGCATACCCCAATTTAATTCCGAGTACCTCAATCCCAACAAGAGACTCTGAAAAACACACACCAAAAACTCGTAAGTATACAATTGTCAGTAACGGAGCACCGGTAGGTATAGGTACTATGAAGGGCACTACTAACACACTGGGTGTCGTCGACTATGTACACTCCGATGGTATTGATGGCCACGAGAACAGGCACGTCCCTGTTCATGATCCACGAGGCCAAGCCCCGGACGGGCCTCTCGATCTGCCCGTGGAAAAAGGCCGCCCCGTAGCAGGGCAATCCCCAGCAAAACTCCAAGTACTTCCTAACGAGTTTGCGGGGATTGGCGTTGGGCCCGGTCGTGTGGTTCGGTATCCGCTTGTACTGCTCGAGCAAGCGCGCCTCGGGCGAGCCCTTGCCCCCGAGGCCCAGGCCCAACAGCAACGAGGGCGTGTTGTAATGGTGGGGCAAAAAGTGCCTACGGTGCTTACGGAAAAAGGCCAACGTGTGCGTCTGTACGTTGTACGGGCCAAGCTCTATCCGCGCCTGTAACGCCCCCAAACTCGTGTACCGCGCCTGGCTCTCGCACGGATATCGTCCTGCAGGTAAATAGTTAAAAACAAAAATTAAAAAAAATTAATACAAAAAATAAATAATAATAATATAAGACATGTACGTACCATCGAGAACGTTGCGCTTGGCCTCCGCGTAGAGAAGCTCGAGGATCTTGGGCTCCTTGATCTGCTCCTCGTCCCTCCGCGAGAGAAAGACGTTTCTCCGGAAGTACAGCAACGGCTCCTCGTCACTGGTGTCCCTGATTGTGCTGTTGACACCGTTGCTGCTGGAGCTCTGTTGGGTGGAATACTTATTGACTAATCGAGGCCACTTTGTTGCTAAATCCAGGGGTCTGTGGCTCGGCCTCAGCTGAAGCTCGAGCTGGGACGAGCATAGCCAGAGGGCAAAGACCGGCTGGTTGCTCGTGCACGGGGGCGTCCTGGTCAGCCCGAGCTCGCCGTCCGACTGGATCATGCTGACTATCTGCTGGGCCGTCGTGCTCTTGTCCACGTCCATCATCAAGCAAACCTCGGACATCAGGTAGATCGCTATGCATATCGTTGTCGCGCGCTCCGATTGTTGCTGCTGCTGCTGCTGCTGTTGTGGTTGCTGATGCTGTTGTTGTTGCTGTTGCTGTTGACTGCCTGGTTTTTCTTCAATGCGCAAAAATTATTTTTCATCATCATACCACTGATCTCTCAAATGATTGGTTTTTAGTAATAGTTTGTAATATTAAAAATTGATGCGAAACATCGTGCACTTATTGGAACTACTGTCGTAAATACAATTTACGTGACCATTTTATAACGAATAAAAATTGTTGATAACAAGTTTGCATACGTGCATAAATAAATTGATGTGTTTGGATTGAATCACCTTTCGTGTAATTTTACCCAAGACAATTGATTGATGACCAAATAAAAAAATTAAATAAAAAAATAAGCTAATCATGTGAAAGAGGGCAAAAAAAATCCTTACGCGTTTGACAGGCTCCCTCGTGTTGTTGTTTGTAATCATGTTGATAGCGACAAAATATCTGGTTCCTTATTTTGTTGCCGCAGTCGTCCTGCTGCTCCATATTATACATGTGCTCCCTCGAACTCTCACTCTCAGCTACCCTACTTACACGCCTACCCTTAAAATAGTAATTTTTCTTACAATTAACAACGACGAGCCACCAAATCCATTGCTCGCAGCCATGACTCTCCCGAATAAAAAAATCACTCTCTCTTCTTCAGTTATATTCCCAACTTTGTGGTTTATTTTTTATTTGTCAATTCTTCTTTCTTCCATTTGGTATTTACATTGTGCTGTCACTTATCCTCCCTTCCCCGAGACATAAGCTTACGCCTCGAGCGACCTTCCATGTCCGACTCTTCTCTCTCTCGTTCACACTGAACTCTTCTCCATTCCTCGAACCGCACCACGACCAAACTTCTTCACAGCCCCGTTTTCACTGAACCCCAGGCGATTTGTTACAACTTTACTTTTTTTTTTTTTTTTTTTAATTCGGGGGTAACCCGTGGCTTTAACAATGATTAACGAGAAGCAGCATTTCTACTTCACGTTATTTGGCCGAGATCCGACGACACATCTTTACCTACCGAAGCGACGACCACTGCACACCACACACGTCGTGTTGCTGAGTACGCTATAGGGGTGTTTATTGATTTTTCGCGTCTCGAGCCGTGCTTTCTCGTATACGAGGTCAGAAACTCGACGTTGTTGTACGGGCTGCTCTTGAGACGCGGGAGTATGGAGCGCTTGATTTTTAAAATGAAAAACGGCGTGATTATGGATTTTTTTTTTCTTCAGTTTTTTATTGACAGTATAAATTTTACTTTTCGTGTAACAGGGTACCGTTACTCTGCAATATTCCGAGACACCTTACGTGTCCAGTGGGTTAAAAAATAGTTGATATTTCTGTTGAAACACTAAAAATGCATTTTTTAATACACAGTTAATAACTTGGGTCAAGATAAATTTCATATCTTACGCGATATGTGCATACAACAAAACGCAAACACCATAATTCTCTAGACTTAAGATTACTATCTTAAACGTTAATCTGTGAGGCGATGATGAAAAAAAGTAGGCTATTTATATCAAGTCAGCTACGTTCATGGGCATTTCGTCTATCTGTGTGGAATAGTACTGTTCTATGTCTCGAAGAATCCTGATGTCATCGTTCTTTACGAAATTGATGGAGACACCTTTACGTCCGAAACGACCCGATCGGCCGATTCTGTGAATGTACAACTCACGATTGTTTGGTAAATCGTAGTTTATGACGAGGGATACTTGTTGAACATCGATACCTCGTGCCCAGACGTCTGTGGTGATTAAAACTCGACTAAAAGTAATACATATATTATTCATAATGCAATTTAAAGAATCCAAGTCATTACAAATTTATAGTGTTAACAATGTTTCTACCTTTGACCAGATCTGAATTCTTTCATTATGTTGTCTCTTTCTTTTTGTGGCATGTCTCCGTGCATGGAGCAGACTGTGAAATTGGATTCTCTCATCTTCTCGGTCAACCAATCGACCTTACGTTTTGTGTTACAGAAAATAACAGCCTGTGTGATTGTAAGTGTGTCGTAGAGATCGCAAAGCGTGTCAAATTTCCATTCTTCGCGCTCGACTGCGACGAAAAATTGCTTGATACCTTCGAGGGTCAACTCGTCACTAAAAACGTATGATAAAAAAAATCAAAAAATTTTGCTGATTTAAAAAAAAACATTTTATATGTAAAAGAAAACTTACCGTTTTACGAGGATTCTAATGGGATCTGTCATGAATTTGCTGGTCATTTCCAAAATTTCGTGAGGTAATGTGGCTGATACCAGAACTACTTGAGTTGCAGGAGGAAGATAACGGTAAACGTCATAAATTTGTTCTTTGAAACCTTTGTTTAACATTTCGTCAGACTCATCAAGAACAAGCATCTTGATGGCCCTTGTTCGTAAAACTCTCCTTTTAATCATATCTAAAAAATAGAACAGAGGTTTACAGTTACAATCAGAAAAAATGTTCTAGTCTTTTCAAATGCACATTCAACTTATGTTCTGAAAGTGTATGTCAACTAATTTGATTACTTACCAAAAACTCTCCCAGGTGTACCAGAAACCACATGCTGTCCATAATCCAGTTTTCTGATGTCCTCACCCAAGTTTGTGCCACCAATGCAGGCATGGCACTGAACGTTCATAAAATCACCCAGGGCTAGGATAACTTTCTGAATTTGTGTAGCAAGTTCTCTAGTTGGCGAGAGAACGAGGACTTGGGTCTCGCGCAGTTGCGTGTCTAAAGATTGCAAAATCGCAATAGAGAATGTGGCAGTTTTACCAGTACCGGATTGAGCCTGGGCAATGACATCTCTGCCTCTCATAATTGGCTTGATTGATCGCTGTTGGATAGCGGAAGGCTTCTCAAAACCTGTAAACAAACATCGATACATCATGTAATTAGCATAAATTTGTATTTTTTAAAACTATTCTTTATTGATTTTACTGTACTTGATATGTATGTAGATAAACAAAACGTCAACAAACCAAAAGGTAAACGTTGGGATTTTGAGGTTATAGATTACACTGATGAGCGAAAGAGAGCTTACCGTATGCGTAGATTCCTCGGAGAAGCTCGTCCCGAAGACCCATATTGTCGAAGGTCGGAATGACCTCGACATCTTCGCTTGTTTCGAATTCAACATTTGATAAATCCTCGTTTTGAGCAGCAACACGTCGCAACTTAGCTTCCGCCATTTTTCTTGCTGTTTGTTACTTTCACTGCTGGTGATCGCGATCAACTACATAAACAAGTCAACCTATAAAACAGACAACCTGACCTGATGCTCCAAAATAAAAGTGACACCATTGAACCCATTTGTAGTACGACAGTGACATCCGGAATCCGGACTACTTATCTATAATATAAAGTATAAGTGTATTGTATGAGTATACAATTATCAAGATTAAATTAGTTATATAATAATAGCTCAAGAGAAAAAGAAGCATTCCATTCTTAGACATATTTTTTCACAAATAATATGAGTTTTACAAACAACTGTGAAAAACGTTCGGAGTATAATTTGTTCTAAGTAATCACTGTGATTTTTCGTTAGTATGTATGTATAATTAAATTAACAACAATTACGAGTAAAAACAATGTATTTATTCATCGTGTTTCAACATTTATTACATTTATAACTTAGCACCAAAATGTGCTTTTTTTTAACAAAATAGAGTGATATTGGTTTGTCCAATAATCGTGGAAATTTTTTATTTCGAATATTAAAATACATATGTTTGCCATGTATTCCAGCAGAAGTAAACTAATTCTCCTAAACCTTATTTTATTTCATCACAACTGATTTTTTTTTTTTTTTTTTTTGGCGTACTGAATTAAGCTATTGAATTAAAAACTTTTCTTCTGATTATATTATTAAGGTACCATTTGTGTTTGAATGTTCGCGCCTTCACGCACTACGCTTGAAGCGCCACCTGCGCTACACGCTGGGTACCAAAATTCAATTCAAAAAAAAACAAACCGAATTGTAACGCGAGCAAACGTAATTTTAGCGGGCTGCGTAATAATGATCTATTCTTGTAGTAACCGAGCAATAAACACGTTTCGCAAAGTATTATATTATTAAAAAGTTTAGCATTGACTTGTTTTCTTGCAACTTTAATGATTTTGATGCTTAGTGACAAATTCTGGCCTTTTTTTGTTCAACGTCGCGCTGACGCTTGATTTCAAGGTTAGGCTTTCGTGTACTTTGTCATGGGAAAGTGTTGTTAGAATATTCCTTTGAAGCTCGAAGGATATATTTTGTGTGTGTAAGTACTTATAACTTGTTTATGACCACTTAGTTACAATAACTTTGATAAGCACTATGAATTAGAGTGAGAATTAGGTCTGACATGTCTTGAATAAGAGAAAAGTACTGTTTGATAACTCAAACACGTCACGTCTCGATCTCACATCATTTGTCTTCAAAACCAAACCCTATTCATACTTTTATTATATATATTATACATATTACCCATTACATACTTTTTTTTATTTTATTTTAGGAAGGAAACAGTTGACGATCATGTCGCGAATCACTCGGAGCAGGCAAGTCGGGACATGTAAGGCAGAAACAGTCGGTGCTAAAAATGCAAGGCAAACAACAGCTGGAGTTAACAGTGCAAAGAGCAAGGTAAGAACGAATGCGAAGAAAAATTTTGTGGATGAAAACGCGGTACCTCCTAAGCAGGTACAAGACAAAAAACCAATTACATCTCTGCTGGGCTCCAAATTGCATTCAGTTGGAGACAATAATCGATCGAGTGATACCGAATCAGTCTTGAAATCACCTGCTTTGAGAGACAGAACCAACACAACTAATGAGATAGCTAATGATAAGATGAATGAAGTTCATACAAAGAAAAAAAATCAAGTAAAATCAAAAATGAGCAGCAAAACCGATACCAAGAGAGTTGTAAGGAAAGCGGATCAGAAAACAGAACCAGATGTTCTCAGTAAATTGGACAGTGTAAGGTGTGTTAATGTAACAGTGGCCAATAATAAAAAGTGTAGTAATAAAGAAATTGAAGATATACTCAATGAAAATCAAGAAATGAATATTTGCAGAGCAAAATTGAGCGATGGCAAAATGTCAAGTAAAGTCACTCAAATACCTGTTGTTAAAGTAGATCGATTAGAAACGGCAAAACAAGTAATGGATAATCTAAAAAATTCAAAGAAAAACAGCATGCTAAGAAAGAAAAATATGTCAATGGAAGAAGTAGAAGGTTTATTAAATGATGATGATAACGAAGAAGCAGGTGAAATTGAAACAAATACCAGGGATACTGATTCTGAGCTCGAGGATAATCAAAAAAATGACCCTAAAATACAATCTGAGGGCAGTGATTCTCATGAATCACAAGAAAACTTGCCTAATGAAGAGGAAGCAGGAAAAATTCAGAAAAATAAAAAATTCTTTAGGTACAAGCAAATTAAAGTGAAGGAAGGAAAGTCCGCTACTACTTCTAAAAGACCACGCAGACAAGCTGCCTGTAAGAAAGCCAAGATGGTTGATGATGATGATAGTGATCTTGATGTAATAATGAAGGTAGATAAGCAACCCACAGAGCCTTCGAAGAAAAATCTTCGCTGTCAGGCGACTAAAAATTACTGTGAACTATCTCAGATAATGCAAAGTTCTAATTTGACTACCATAAAAGAAACAGAAAATGAAAAAGTGGTTGATAAGGAAGCTGAAGGTAGTCATAAAAATCATTTGCCAATTTATAAACAAGAATTAAAGTTATCTCAAGAAAATATCAGGGATAAAGAAGAAATTTACGAATTTCCTGATAATTCTCAAGAAAAAGTAGAAAAAGTTAAAAAGAAAAAAAAAGTAGTAAAAAGACCAGCTGTGAAACGCCCTAAAAAGGTTGCCAGTACAAAACTTGTTGCAGCTGAGAAGAAGTCGAAAAAACTTACTCATCAAGTTCCTCGAACTGTACAATTTAAAGAAAATGGAATAATGAAAGGTAATGATCTTCAGCCTAAAGGTAATATTAACACTGTTATGTCCAACCGAGCAGTTCCAAAAGATATACCTAACATAGAAGGAGTTGGAGAGATTCCAACAATTAAAATCATATCTTGTGAAAAGTTGGATGGAAGTAAGAGAATCAATTTAATGACAACTCCAAATATACCCAAAACGATAAATTCTGAACTAAAACTTTTTGGTCCTACTAATGCTATAACTTCAAAACCCAAATCTTCTTTCAACAATATGATGAATCATTCGCTGATTAGGCAATCCATGTCACCCATTGTCAAATGTAATAACAACGATGATTTTGATGATGGTAGTCCTTGGAGACCAATAGATGCTTTTTCTCGTGTTAATAGAGTTGTGCAAAGCACACCTCAAATTATAAGGCCACCGTTTAATAGAGGGAAAAAATTACCTATCCCAATGCCGTTGAAGGAAAAATCGATTTGCTCAATGGATACAATCCACATTTCATCCGAAAATCCTGATGGGTCAGTTCAAGTAAATAAAACTAATGCTCCAGAAACAAAGACCTCAGTGTCTCCTAGGAAATTTGGAACTGTAATCTCAAATACCAATCCTCTACAGAGTCAATCTCATGAGAGTATATATGATGCCAAAACTGTGATTGATAACAGCAAAAAAACATCAACAGTTCAGGGATTCTCTATGCAGACAACAATTAATGATAATCAACCGTCGCCAGCAAAGATCACTTCTCCACAAAGTGCATTTGCAGAACAACCGACATGTAATGAGCTTTCTGCTGCTGTTGGTAAGGAAAATACACAAGAAAGTCCAAGTAAGCAAAATAATGAAAATGACGAGATTCCCGTGAGGTTTCAACAAACAAAAACTTTCGAAAAACCAACGATTGAAAAACGTTACCCTGTAAAACTAAAACAAACGAATCTAAATGCATTTCTTAATCGAATTGAAATGCCAGAAAGCACATGCATATCTACCCCTCACGGTATCTTTGACGATATACCCGCCTCGCCAAGAAAGCCGAAAAAATTGAAGGAGCAAAATGTTGAATTCAACGCAAAAAATGCCTTTGGTTTCGATGATGATGATGATGATACGACGGACGAAATACTCTTTGTTGAATCAGCACCTCACTCGAAAATTGTCACAGAAGAAGATGTTAAATCAAGTGTAAAAGGGAAAGTGTTCACCAATGCTAGAGTGAAGTCAGCTATGTCAGTAAAGGCTTCAAAGAAAAAAGCCAATAAAAAACCTTTGCTGAAAGCTGTTTTGAAAAAGAATAGAAAGCAGGAAGAAATGACCACTGAAAATTCAGATGATAGTAGTTGTAGCACTAGTAGTGATGCAGTTAAAGAGACCGAAAAGACAAAAAACAATGCGGCAAACGACAACGACCTAGAGCCGAAACAGAAAGAACTCTTGAATGCCGTATCGTTTTCAGATACTTTCGACATCATCTCAGAGAATGAAGATTTAAAATCTAAAATACCTGAAGAAGTTCCTTTGTTTGTGGATTTGGAACCAGTTCATTTTTCAAAGGTAACATGACAATTTAACTAATTTTCTCAGTATAGTAAAAAAAAACGTATATAACAAAATTTTGAATAATTATTTCAGCCTCCAAGGCGGTCATACCAGAAACGCAAACGAGAGGTTCACAAAGGTGAAAACAAAGAAAGCGACGATAGCGACGACGGAGAACGCAAAAAATTATTGAAAGCAAGAAAGAAGAAGAAGGATAATTTAAGTAAAGAGGATCGAAAGCGAATGAATCAATGGGTCAAAAGCATTAATGAAACGTTTGAGGAAATAGATCATTTTGATCTAGTGGTCGAGTAGATTTTGTATATTTATTCTGGACAATATGTTTAAACGCCAATGATTCAGAAACATTGTGATCGCCTTCAAAATCAGTCCCTATGTATATATTGAAATTCTCCCAGATACTGTAAATAATTCATTTAAACTATTTCATTTTACGTAATTGTAAAAAAGTATTGTAAACTGTAATAATTTTGATATTATTTTATCATTAAGTATGCTTTATCAAATGTTTCGTCAAAACTTGCGTAATTTTGAAAATCGCCAACTTTCATGGCGCGTAATTTATTTTGCGCTCCGCAATGGCTTTAAACATCCAATATATTATTTGCTTGCCACGTTAATTTGTATCCTTCGAAAGTTTCAAATTAAGTTCTTTGAAATGTCTCATAATATTATAAGTTGTTAAAACTTTTATCCTTTTTTTTTTTTTTTTCTATGCATTGAATGTACAAGTATTGATCAAGAACCCATTAACTCTGACAAAAACTTTGAAAGACACGGAATTTTCAGCAGCTACTGGCCTGAGTAGAAATTTTCTTTGAGAAATCTGTTTTCCGTGCTAAAGTTTTGTACAAAAACGTATTCCAGAGGAAATCAACCTCGTGTATTCCTATTATATATGTTCAGATCCGCACGTAACAATAGATGCAAAAAATTTTGTTTAATTCCATATAAGAGAAATCAATGCAATAAACGCACATCTAAACTTATACTTTGTACACAGTATCAGCTACCATTTTCATTTCTATCGTCCACTCGTTTGCGTTTCCGAAATGACCTTGGTCCGTTTTAGCGCGCAGTAAAGAAAAATGATTTGCAGCGGAAGAAAGAAAATTTCACGCTAATTATCCAAAGCTCGCACACACACCCGTTGATGTACAAAAGTCGCCAGCACAAAGCCACGAGAAAGACGCTCGGCGCAAGAAACGCGATAAGCAATAAAAGCCGAAAGCCACGTATAGATAGGCAAGTGTATATATACAAGCAACACAAAGAGAACTGGATATAATTTCTTTTTTTTTTCCGCGATAGCGATCGCATCGCGCGCCAATTAGATTCCGAATCCTTTGTGCGTCGCTTGAGCCGTGCACGAGTTTTGATTTCTTTCTCTTCGCTCTTCCCTCTCGCGTCTGTTTCCTTTGTTTATCGTATACATAACTTGCGCAGAGAAGCGTTGAAAACAAACAAAAAATCCTCGCGCGACATTGTTGCTACTTTTGCTCCGTTGCAATAATTAGAAATATCTTCAACTTTGTAATTTATATCATCGGCTTCTGTTGCAAAGAGAGAAATATGCATAAATATAGCAAGCGCGTCTCTCAACGAAGGAAGATCTCACCCAAAAAAGCGGAGCACGTGATTTCTCTTCGCGGAATGATAAGTGAAATAGTCGCGTGCTTTGTATACAATGCAACTTGTCAGACGCCGTCTACTTGTAAAGCTTGAACATAAAGAGGAGGAAAATCGGGCGGCGACGGCACAATGAGGGGATCGGTAGTTTAAGAAGCTACATTTTTGCCTTAAATCGCTGGCGATGCATTATTGTTTGTCCCTATGTGCCGGGAATATCAAGAGGACTCGTTTCCTTTTATCTAAATTGAGTCGAGTGCAAGCATGAAAGAACTACAAGCACAGGAGGGGGGAGGGGGGCGATCGAGATGTTTGGAAAGCGATAAGCCGATTTCCGCTCGTAAAAGCACGTACGCGTTACAGCGGCCGTGTAAAAGCTCCTCTGTTGGTATTTTGTGCAGGAAAGTGTGGACTGCCAGCACCTTTTTTCCCCTCCGATGAGGATTGCTTTGATCGATCGAGATGTGTCTGCCGATACTTCGTTGCGCAATCCAAAATGTAGTGGAAAAAATTATTCCAGTAAGCGATCGACCACGGTGTGCCGCGTTTACTTGCGTATTTAATACTCCGTTCTCATTCCGAGATGCGTCTTTTTATCAAGATTGTACGCGCGCATAAACATCGGCACGTTACGAGAATCGGTGATTGTTCGCGTAAGTTTGATAAATTATTGTTTTTTTTTTTTTTTTTTTTTTTTTTTTTTTTTTTTTCTCAATTACGCGGCGTGAGATGCAAAGTCAAGTTACGATTACACTTGATTGTAAATCCTATTTACGAAGAATCGAGTAACCACACATACCTAATATGTTTCAAGACACGAACGCTCAGTTGTAAAAACACTATGCGCAGAAAGACAGCGCTTATTTACATTTTTTAATAAAAATAATAAACAGAAAAAGAAAAAAAAAACATGCGCAGTGACGTCAAGAGCATAGGTAAAGGAGAGGCGCGCTCTGGATGCAGCGCTTATCCTCGAGAGAGTCGCCAAAGTAAGCGATAATTCTATAGATCGGCGCGCCTCCCCTTTCTTGCGATTGCTCGCGCGAAAGTTACGACGCGCTCTCTTCGAGCCGACCGGATTTATTGAGGATCGCGCCAAAGTACCCACACACACTCTCCTGTATTCGCGTGGGAGACTTTTATCAATCGGACTAAACTGCCGAGGTAATGCACTTTGCGGAGCTCGGCACGTATAGTGTGTATGTGGTATACCTACTCGCTTTGGTACTTTTATGCCGGTACTAACGGACTCTCCGAACTTCTCGCATTACCTAATTAGACGACTGGTGGAACTTTTCTCCTTATTTTCTCTACGTATATACCGATCGCGTTTCTCGAAAACCTCGATAAATTCAATCCTCCACGTTGTACGCACGAGTGACGATTAATTGATTCTTGCATTACTATCGATTAAAAACCAAGTGAAAATCCAAGTAAATTTCTTGGATTGTATACCGAGAGACAGGTACTTCCTGTATTACCTTAAAAGAGCCACGATTGCGGTACAAAGCCGATATACACTTCCTTCATTGATCCAGCAAAATAAAACTCTATGAACAATACATATCGCCCGTGTGCTCGAATCACTTGTTCGGCGTCCTTACTCGATCATTCATATCGTACGTATATAAAACGTGGAATCGCGTCATTGCACACTTTGATGGTAAATATAATACAACAAGCATCCGGCACTGCCTTTTATCCCATATGAAGTACTTTGTCGCTGCGTCCTGTTTTTTTTTTTTTATCTCTGCTACTAAAAAAAACTTACATTAAAGTTGATTTTATACTTTATTTGCTACTAGAGAAAGCGAGAAAATGTATCCAAAAGAATGTTGAGAGCCTGTAGGTTTACGTTTTTTTTTCTTCATACGGGTGTATAGTTACAAGTCCCTGTGCGTATATGACGTATAGGCCTTCCCCTATATACGGGGGTGCTGTGGCACGCATGAATATACAGGAAGAGAGAAGAGATGGCCATTATCTTCCCGAGGGTCCGTTTAATGTCTTCGCCGCACTATTGCGGATCGTAAACTTTTTTTTTTATCGCTCCCTTCGCTGAAATTCGCTTTGCTTATTAGTGAAGGTTGCCACCACCACCTCCCTCCGTGCTTATTTTCTCGCGCCCAAGGGTATCTCCATTGGTCGAATTGTTGGTTTCACTGTTTCGCAACACCCGGCCGTCAAACTATTATCTCATCCCTTAACTATTTACGTATATGTACTCAGCCACATTTTTACCTACGAGGGAATTGGGTAAACCGTACGCCGCTACTTACATACCATGCATATATTATATGATTCGAAAAAATGGCCCTTTGCGCAATTTCCTTTAAACACGTACTGTATATATACGCCGACAGGCGCGACGTTCTTATCTTTTCCTTGAAATCCATAACCGAATCTCGAATGTCGTTTCGTATACCGTGTAGCATTACCTTCAACTCCCAAGATTACAGAGGTAATTGAAACAAAAAACAAAAAAAAACAAAAAAAAAACAAAAAAAAAGTAAAGAAAGAAATAAATGACATTTTATACATCTGCGGGAAGAATACGATTCTGAGATTCTTTCTCTGTTTGCGTATATATGTGTACACTTGCGTACAGGTATGCATCCACACATTACGCAACCCAGCGCAACATTAGCGAGTCAAAGGGAAAGTCGTGTACTCGCGAAGCTGTACGGTGTATCCAGCAAAAAGGGTCGCGAATCTCGAACACACACGCGTGACTTATTTACTTTATTTTTGCATTCGCATGAATGTAGAATTTATGCTTACGTAAGAGCGATTATATGGGTTCCTGTACCCATGAGTAGGTGTACGGTGCACGGTACGCATGTGCAGTGTGTGCAACGACGTGAGAGTCGAGAGTAGAAAAATGGCCCTTAGCGAGTCAGCGTTTCAGAGATTTTTCTTTTTTCCCCACATTGCGCATAAAAAAACAAAATGTGCGTTAGTTACACCTGTGCTACTTATTTACGACACGTATGCACTTGTGCTGCTCGCAAAGTCTCGGATGGAAATGGGGATCGTACCAAAATAGGTATACATAAATGCACGTGCAAACGCTAATGAAATGAAGAACAATATAATACATATACTCATACGCATAAAGTAATAAAATCGTCACGGTTATTCTGTCAATTTCCTTGTCAACCTCGATCAACTTTTCAATTAATGATCATCACCTTAGTTATACCTGTACACATCTCATTTTCAAGTATACCCGTGTATGATGTATACCTATTTTCAAAACGAGATGATTCTCGTACCGCGTATTATGTGTCATTTGCGCCGTTTCTCCCATAGATTTGTAAAATATTTTTATTCAATCAATAAAGTACGCGTGTCATTCGCAAGGTTGTTTTTTATCATTCGTCGCATCTTCTAATTCGTCTCATTGCAAATAACAATTGTTTTTATCTTGTATTGCAGGTTTCTTGAAAAATGTTAATTTCGTCTTTTTTTTCTTGGTCTCGATTCGATCGCGTTCCACATACACACGTACGCGAGTGTTAACATCAAACTCTTTTTTTTTTTTTTTTTTTTTTTTTTTTTTTTTTTTTTTTTTTTTTTTTTTTTTAATTCGGGGGTAACCCGTGGCTTTAACAATGATTAACGAGAAGCAGCATTTCTACTTCANGTTGAGGCTAATTCAAAAGCGGATCATTCCACAGGCTCTTCACTCGCTGTCTGGACTGGATCGGTCTCGAGACTATGCTCGCATCGACCCGATTCCCTGCTCTTGATTTATGTGCAGTTTTTTTTTTTTTTTTTTTTTTTTTTTTTTTTTTTTTTTTTTTTTTTTTAACTGTTCGACAAAACAGCTGAACGACAGGAATGTCAAGTGCAAACAAATTAAAACTAACAAATGCGCTATATAGTCGTGCAACAGATAGTGGCAAGAAATTTACGATAAATATTGTTGGTATTATTTTACGAGAGACACAGTAGGTACTTTTTAGAACTTCAAAGTCAGATTATTTTATTCTCAAAACCAATACACCTTCCAACGTTGTATTGATAGACGTATATGTTATGTGTTTTTAAAAATGTAGTATTTATCTTGAGATTGAAAAATTTTTCAACTATTTTTCCTTTGTTGAAATTCCCAACGAAGACGAGCCTTATGTACTTAAAACTCGCATACATTTTGTTGTTCTCAACACGGATAAATGCCAAAGTTGCATGTTTGGTCTTTTATGCCCTCATCAGTTAATCGAAAAATCCATAAGGTCGATATCTGTACGATATAAAACAAAATAGCTCAAACAATAAAGAAGCTCTAATTTTGCAATCACACTTTTTTCATAAAGCAAGTTTTGTGGAAAAAGTTTAGTTTTGTCTTTTCCGATTCAACAAAGCCAGAAAGACTTAGGTATCGCGAATTTCCATTTCCAAGACCGTAGGCTACATCTAATTTTCCTCTTATACTTCAGACGTGCTTCTATACGCCTTTTTTCCTCATGAATCTTCATACAGAGAGAACCTAAGCTTGTCAAGGGTATCCTATACATCATTGGGAGGTCCTTGCCTATGGACAAGTTTTTCCGCAGATAATGTAAACGTAACATATATGTGCGATTTTTACAAGGTCTATGGTGAATATGACAATGACAACCGATTTTGTTACCAAAACATAAATTGAAATTTATTTTTTTTAATAGCACATTTACATGCTTAACATTGAGTTTTTCCCATATAACATTTACTTTGGTTTCCCTTCTCATCATTTTTTTACCATTTAACATTATAATAGTGTCCAATAAATGCTCATACAAGAGCCGTCCAGTAATATAATATTATTTTAGTACTTCTCTACTTAACCGCAATTAAAAAACCATTCGACTGATTTTAGGCGACAAGGGTACATTGTCATGGTAACATGTAAAGCGAGTGTAAAATGGCTTAAGAATATCATCATCAATTCGATTAACCCATGGAATGAAAAACAGGACGTATGAAATTAGTGTCAAGTATACACGAAAACTTCTGTTAATGCCACATCGAAAGGCAGCTGGTATTTTTGATCATAATATACCAGCCGAGCCCCCGCAGCAGCAATGTACAGTTCCCAATTATTCGTCAAGTTTTACGGAAAAAAAAAACATACTGTGAAAGAGAAGAAACAAAAAAAAATCAACTCCAAGCGTGAGCATCATCCTTTCTCGTGGTATCCTTGCGCCCAGTTTTTCCCACTCGCGAGATAATCCTCCCCTACTCCTTGAAAATCGTCGAATCTAATCAAGCAGCCCAGATCGCCAAGGGAAAATCGGCAAGGGCACACGATTCCGAGCTCGCTGTTAATGACATTCCTTGCGCCAGTTAGCCTCTCTCGGTACACACGAGGCGAATCAAAGTAAAGAAAAAAAAAAAAAAAAAAAGTGCAGCTGCACGCGAGAGAGAAAAGATCGCACCGGCGTCCTTGGCCGGCAGGTATATATCGGTAAGTATGGAAGCTGGCTCAGGGCCGGCTCGCCTGCCCCGGTATTACGAATTCGATCGCGGATATATATTATATCGCGCGAACGAGAAATTGCTGCAGGGATGGATGCTGGTATGGATACACATTGGGTGCGTTAGATATCCTCGAGAGATCGGCTGTATAGACACGCGTTGGGACAATTCCATCGCCCATATATACATGTAGCCTTTAGCTTCGATGGCCCCCTTAGGGAAAGTTTATTTTTAGCTTCTAATTGCCCGTCGGCGAGCTCTAATGCTCGCATAAAGCGAGACAGAGAGTAGTAGAAAAGAGGCGGGGGAAGGGGGGACGTTGAGGCTAATTCAAAAGCGGATCATTCCACAGGCTCTTCACTCGCTGTCTGGACTGGATCGGTCTCGAGACTATGCTCGCATCGACCCGATTCCCTGCTCTTGATTTATGTGCAGTTTTTTTTTTTTTTTTTTTTTTTTTTGTCGACAAACTGAGATATTTATACAAATACATTGCTTTTTTTTGCAAGAATCTAATTACATTGGAGGAAAAAAAGTAACAGAGATTGTTCCCTACGATTTCATACCTGTCGTATCCAACCTGAACAACAACAAACAACTTTCTTTTGTATAATTATACAGTACCGAACGATTTCAGAATCCTAACTTTTGCGAGGAATTCCCGTGCGGTCAAACTTTTTATTATTATTATTTTTCGAGTGTCAAAACACCTTGGAAATAATGCCTCACTACAACATCCCCCTTTGAAGTCGTAAGTACACACCTAACGGAACACGCGGAGGAAAGGAAATTATGTCACTCCCCCGATCTCCTCTGTCGGAAATTCCATTCCCGAGCTCTTTCTCCGCTTCACTTCTGTGCTCTTTCTATCCTTCGTGGCGTGGAAATTACGAAGTCCGAGATAGCGCATCACGTGCGCACGAGTTGCATCTCGGCCGCTGGGTGATACATGCATTATAGACACTGGTGAGAAAAAGAAAAATTTCGAAGCAACCAGATGGAGGTACGGAAAAAAAACAAAAAAAAAAAAAAAAAAAAAGTAGGAATCGGAAGAGGAGAAGCAAAGAGGAATCTAATAGGAGGTGTATATATATGTATTACACGTGTGCGCCGCGCCGGTAGAGTGAGTCATATACCGGGGGGGGGGCCTCTTCGCCCACGGAGAGAGGAACACAGCTGACTCACTGTGTTTTCTCGGAAGATCGGCGGTCCCCCTTCTCCGCGAAATTTTCGCTCCGGATCAGAGAGGAAAAGAGAGACACCGGCGAGGTGAGAGATGCTCCCCGGCTTTGGGCCGCACACTGCGCGTTGACATTATATTACCATGCGGTATAAGATACAATAAGGTTGTACAACAGGGAGGCCAACCCAACTGTACACGTATATATATAAAGCTATACGCGGGGTGGGGGGGGGGATTCTTTGAAGCTTTCGAGGGAGAGATTCGGTACGGTGGTCGCACGTCGACGGCTCCTTTCTTTACGGCTTGATTGCGTGATTGATAACCGTTGGGGATGCTGCTGATGATGATCGCCGCCCAGGGAGTCGGGATGCCACGGGGATATCCTCTTGTGTCGCCGAACTTGTTTTCGACTGTACGGGCATTACTATAGGCGCAGTTTGAATTTTACTGCCAACCTTTTTTTTAGGAGCTTTTTGGCGTTATGCATCGTAAAAGATATAATATACGCGTGTGTGTGGATATGGCACGGGGGTGACGATGATGACGGTGGTGTTCAAGACGAAAAAAAACGACTCTTTATTACTTACAAAGTAATTTACGTTTTGGTCGTTTTTCGAGCTGTATGACTCGCCGCAAAATTTCAAACGTTACGAACTAAATGTAAGTAAGTGGACACCCGTGTTTAGAAACAATGCTCCTCCGATTGTTTTCGAGGCGACCTCGTTGTGATTATTTCATACATACATGCGATTCGAGGTATGATAAATGAATTAAATTTAAAAAAAGGATGTTTTAGTAGATCGTAAGAGTATATGATTGTGATGGAATATACTTTTTTCTGCCATTGCTGTACTACATGGTGCAATAATTCATTTTAATTAAACTTTCGTGCAAAGTAAAAAGTACAAATTGATTTTTACAGTTAATAACAATAAAATGCAACTGTGTATACCTACACATTATAATTTGATGTAAAAAAAAATACTGTGTTTCTTGTAAGAGTGTTTATATTAAATTTTACCAAATTATTTAGGTTGAATAATGCTCGATTTGTCATAAAGTTAATTTTAGTTTGATAAGATTCTCGGCTGACGTTAAAAGAATCTGGCGAGTCGAAATTGTCGCGTATACTCATCACAAGCACGACGATGGAGTACCCAATTGACATAAGATAAATGTAATCAAAAACAAGATCGTTAAATTTTAATTTTCAACATCTGCCTCGGAACAATATTATCTCGACCGACGATAATATGCGTAAGTGGATCAGCAGCCCCTACGATCGCAAACTTTCTATTCTTATCGGTTACCACTTTTTCGATTCAAAAGGTTGTATATTTCATGCTGTATATTTTTATACGTAATTTTTTACTTACACATAATTATCATTATTATTTTTTTTTTTAATTCTCCACAGCTACTGCTTTTACTTATCGCAATAAATATTTGCCGTCGTCGAAAATGTTTTCATGTCCATGAGTCATTGTTAATTTTTATTGAGCATCAGTCTGCTTCAAAAAAATTATTGCTCTTTTTTTTTCTTTTTTTTTTTGTTATCGCACTTGCCGCATTCTTGAAAAATGACGAATTACTTGTTTTTGGTGTCATTGCGCTATGCCTCCAAAATAAAATTGAAACACATATATATCAGTATTGAAAGATGTACATTTATAAATTTGAAGTCAGCAAGAATATTTAGGTGTAACAACATAAAAACTAAATTTTATCTATTTGAGTTGACCGTAAACATTAATTAGCTACGATTTAACGGTCCATTAGTAAAAAAAAAAAAAAAAAAAAAAACACTGTATGCCAAGGTTCTTCTCATCATGCGAAAATAAATAGAACTTTTTAAATATAATCTGATCATACTTGAAGATATAGTTTTACGGGTTTAATGTATTTTATCGATAGTTTAAAATGAATCGTAACAGCCGGTATCACATGACACAGGATTCAAAATAGCCCGCGCACTTCTGACGTCATAGTCCAGTTGTTCTTCGTATAGTGACATCATTATATAATTTTCAGTTTGTACTAGACATATTCTATGTACTTAATTTCTTTGATTTCTCAATAAGGGCTCTTTCTTTCTCATCTCAAGATAATTTTTCCCCCCTATCTCACCCCCTCGCGCAACCCGTAACCTATAAAAATAAAAAATAAAAAACAGAGTACGTATGTAGCCGAAGATTGCCGAGCAGAACCGATCTCATACTATATATATATGTATATATGTATATATATGCACATAAAAATTTCGGAGCAGTGCTCGAGTCTCGACGATAGGTATATGTATATATATACGCGAAGCAGAATCGCGGAGTTGTTTACGTATGCGCGTCTGCGTCATGGGTTTGTGGGTGCATGAAAGTGCGAGAGAGACGAAAAGATGAAAGGTATTCCCTTCGTCGGCGCGTGACTCATCGGTCGCGGTGGCGGGCGCAGTTTTAACGTGCAGCTTTTCGAGTGAAAGCCTCGGTTTAATCTTACACTCGTTCGGATAATTATTCTCTTTAATTTTTCCTTATGCACAAACATCTGTTGGTACATGTTTACACTGTGACGACTGTTTGTTTTTCTTTCTCGACCGCTATTTTCTTCCTGAGGGTAACAGATTGATGAAAATGATCAATGATACAGATTTAGCATCACACGTTAACGCGTGGTAGACGATGCCGTATCAGCTCGAAATGTCTTCGTTCAGTGTGGTGTATACTAGACACATAGCCTCGACTTTAACTTCAGCCGTTGGTTGAAAGTTCGAGAATGAGATAAAATATTCACAAACCACACACAGTGCAGTACAGTAGCTGTCATAACCTAACAGTAGCAAGTGCAAGAACTCCGAAACGAAGGTATACCTGATTTGTTTACATCTTGCATTTATCTCGCAGTGAAGTGCGTTGAATACACATTAAAATCTATAGCTACACCTTTATCGTATGAACATGTACAACTGCTGTGTGCTCCAAAATGAAGGGATGTACAGTTTGAAGATTAGGTGATGTAGAAAGATGTTCTAGAAGAAGAGAAAGCAGCTGCACAGACATTCCTTAAAGATTCCACGAGAGAACAGAAAGCTTGAAAGTGATTATACGTCTACGCACGTACACACATAGACACAATCATCAAAATAACAGGCAACAGGTGGTGCAGTGTGTTGGAGGATGTGCTGATTAATTTACAAAAGGCCTGTACAATAGGGGGTAGGGGGGACCAATTGTGCATCTCGCTCAATCGCGAGTAGGTATAAAGTACGATTAAAAACAACAACGCCGCGTGAATGAAGATCAAGTGCGAGCTGGTGCGGGCAAATCAGCAGCAGCAGCGAATTGCTGCTGCTGCTGCCGCCGCCGCTGCTGTAGCTGCCGCTGCCACCGCTGCCAAGAAAACCACTGCAGGTGTAGGGGCTGGAGCGGGCAGCCTCGAGGGCACCGAGGAGACGATGAAGCTCGACGTCTCGGACGTACTCTATGACAGCTCGAGCAGCGTGTCTAACGATAGTGCCACCTCGTCTCAGAGCTCCCGAACTAGTCATGACTTTCTATCCAGCATTAGCAGCTCCTACACGCCGTCCAGTACCGTGAGTATTTTTTTTTTTTTTTTTTTTTCTTTTTACAGTACATAAGTATCATCGTTAATGATTGTTTTCATTCTTATTTTGACAGAAATAATTTTCTTTATTTGTACGTACACATGCACCTGTGGACAACGTGCGTGTGTACAAATGAGTTTAATAGTAGGCGCTTTATGAATGGAAGAGAAGCTGTGAGGCATACTTATACTTTTTTCTTCATCTTCTTTGTAATCTATTCCTTACTCTAGACCTGCCGATTTTTAGCGAGTCAGATCATTTCGACAGTATTTTGGAAAAAAACTGCTCTTTCATTCAACAGCGTAATTATACGGGAACAACAATTTAACTTTCATACGGCATCTTGTATACTATGTGAGTACAAAAGAACTCTTGGCAAATATCATCCATCACGTATACTCTTTACTTATATCCCGTTTAGTAAAAGGGAAGATGATGAATACGAGCCTCACCTTAAAGCGAGAAAAAGCGTGGAAGGGGCGATAAACCCTCACATACTTGCAAACTATATATTTTATATTCGCACGTACGAAACACAGACTCGACACTGCACATGAGCTTGAGCGGCATATCTCGCATTTGCATTGCACGATAATCGCTATGCAAGAAGGCGAGTCGTTTTCTAAGACAAAGCGTGAACACACACTCTCTCATGTGTGCAGACCTCCATCTATATACGTGGCTATATAGCTCGCGAGAGCCTTTGCACTATGTAATACCTCTCACCCTGTGAAAAAGCGTAAAAAAGTGGGCATAGGTTCTCCTGCTACTAGCTGTACTGAAATATTTAATAGGAATTCGTGTATATCTTGTATAAAAGCCATGGCCGTGCTCATATGCATCTATCTCCTGGGGCTACTGTACTCATATTCTGATAGTGACGTTATGTAAGCATCTACATATACATTATGGGTGGAAAAGGTGGGTAGGAGTGGTTGTCTGAAAATTTCTTGTTTTTGTTGTGAAATCGATCGTTAACAGTGGATTTTGTTGTTTGGCACAGATAATGAGCATATTTCGCTTCGAGTTATCTTGAATAGTAAATTAAAAGTTTGAATCGACTCGTTGCACCAGGAGATTAAGTTTTTGTATGATAACATTCTGAATATTCTGAGATCTGAATAATCTCCAGTTAACTATCTATAGGTGTACGAGGGTTCGCGGGTCATCGCACAAAAAAGCTCCCGCGCACAATGAACCTCGCGATTAACTACTCTGGACTGGCTAATCAGCGTTTTTTTTGTTTTTAATCGGTCCAATTCCTTATTTTTAGAAACAATATTTGTTAGAAGAATAGAAAAAATGCACTTGAAGCAGCACTGCAGACTAAAAAAAAAAAAAAAAAAAAAAAAAGAGAACTGAACGCGGCAAGTATCACCGTAAAGCATCTTTACATTGCAAATCGGCCAGTTTATAGTCAATGTATTAGCATGCCTGCATTTAATCAGTTGAAATATCGCCGAGTCATAAACATATACCACACGGAAAAAAACACGAGTTATCAAAGTGTATGTGTATAGTACATGCGTATGACATCTAAACAATCGTTCAATCTCTCAGTTGGACTTTATTTTCATTGCAAGTCAAAACATACCTACACATGACTCGAAGTTTGAAAAAAAAATCAAAACTAGCAAAAAAACTGTATACCGATCGAATGATGACTCGTTGAAAGCAGATGTCCCCAGCTGGATGGGTACCTTTTTTTTAGATCAATATTTTTTTGAAATAGTAATTAAGTAGGAAATTGAGTTTGCGGTGATCATTGGTTGCGTAATACGTGTGCGTGCGAATATAGGTGAGTATAGAAAAAGACAACTCCATTTGTATATGCACGATAAGAGAAGAGTGACTCGCGTGATACGAGAGTCTTTTCGTTGCTTGACTCGTAAATTTTTGTTAATTACCGTGACGAGTGCAACAGCTGCATCTTCTCCCCCTTGGTTATTTATTTTTTTTTTCTCACTCTTGATGTTGAATAAAAGTGATGCTTTTGGCAAGTCTTATTGGCCACTCTCGTCCGATGCAATTATCCAGCCACTGATGAAGTAGATGTTGCTCGTATGTACATGTAAATAATTTCGCGAGTTCGGAGAAGTGACTGTCATTTGCCCGAAGATGCGTACATATATTTTATCAGACAAAATACGCTCGACAGATTCGTCTTGAAATCATAGTAAATAAAAAAAAAAAAAAAAACAGTTAAATATGAACAAGTAGGTATATATAAAATATAGACTTTAATTTAATTTTAATTTCGAATTGAATAATGATATAAACAAACGAGGTGTAAAAGTGGATTGATACTATATAGACAAAAGATAATAATTGCCGTCGCGATACCGGCAATTGAAAATTCGATCGATCATCGACAAGCTCATACGTATATACCCACCGCTACGCGCACGTAAAAAGTGTACCTATATATTGTATTCAGTTGAGTTCTACGAATAGGCATTGCGCCGCACACTTTGTACACCGTATCACCTCCACTTAACGCCGTTCAGAAGCTGCGCGTGGGGAGGGGGGAAGCTCTAAAAATAATCACGTAATCCGGGAGGGGATTATCGCGGGATAAGCTAAAATTACCGGCGCGTCATCGTACACGAGAGCTGCAGGCACGCGTGTTGTATACGACACACACTTGTACAACGTATAAAATGTAATGCTTGGTCGGGCTCTTTTCTCATTCCTGACCATCGGTATGGCAGCTCCGCGTCGAGCTTGACCCCGAATTTTTTCTTTTGTCCATACATTTGGTGCACTTTTAAACGAGGAATGTATAGCTTTATTGTAACTAGCACCGAAACTTTTAAAATCTAAAGAAACATCAAACGATGTTTTTGTTTTTTTCCATTCCTTTAATGTATAGGCAGTTGTACATTTGTATTTTTATAATCGGAATGCGGGTTATTTATAGTTTGACTTCTGTTTTTGGTTTTTCATTGCCGCGCTACTGTGCTACTTTTCTACCGCGCAAAAGGAAAAATCAATTTGTGTAACGAACTGACACTCGACACTTGGTTTTTTTTTTTTTTTTTTTTTTCATCAGTTCTTAAACTAAAAAATTTGTTACAGGATGGCATGATGCTTTTTCACATGTTGGGACGTAAAATTTCGTAATTATAAAAAATACAAAAAGAAATTTTTAATATGTGGGACTTTAGCCACTCAAAACGTTTGAATATTCCTTTATGATCATTAAAAAAAGGAAAAAAAATTTTTTTAAAGTGTAAGACATTAGCCACTTGANTTTTTTTTTTTTTTTTTTTTTTTTTTTTTTTTTTTTCATCAGTTCTTGACTTGTGTATAGTTTACGATGAAAAACCACAAGCTACAAATTCATTACCCTCATTACCCTCCCACAAACGTCAATTTTCTTAGTTATTCCTGCGTTGATTGTACAAGTAACAGATGACAAGAGAAAAATGATATATATGCTAATAAAAGAAGTTTGCGCTTAGTTAAACCGCGAGCTTTTTGCAACTATTTGCGGAACCGCCTATTGTGAGCCGCTCGCTGGCGAACGGAATGCCTTTCTTCCGGCACAACACCAGTTCGTTAACAGTAAGTTTACCACATTATTATATTTGCGGCATTACAACGGATAAACACACTTTCTCCGTCAGGCGGCGGGTGTACACACACGAAAATTAATTTCGCCCTGCTTTTGCTCCCGTACATGTGTATCTTGCGCAATCTCAAATCCCCAAACGAGGAAACGTCTCTTGCCGACGTAACCCAAACCCACGCGCGCTCGGTCCTTTGCTCTCAACCTTTTTCTCTTCGTACTTGTACATACCTACGCGCGTATAATACGGTCATCAAAAAATCGCAAATGTATTCTCCACGACGACGCATACAATGCGCACTTTCCTTTTATTTAACGAGAGCGACGACGCACGTGCACACATAAATACATACACATATATGGGCCCCCGCATGAGAGTATAATAGCGTACTTGTACCTCCCGAAAAGTATGCTTACGGCGGAGATAACGAAAATAAATAAAACGAGTGTCAGCGACGCCGACAGCGTCGACCTGCACGCGGGCATTGTCGCGTAACGTTCGCGAGTTGCCGTTTAAGGGACGCAGAGCGCTTTTATTTGGACTGCGGGTATTATGCACGTACAGGGTTATATTATATAGAGTACCTATGCATGTAGGGGCCTAATGGCCGTTCAGCACTTTCTCGGGTTGTTGTTGTGCGAAACGCCTATTCATCTCTCGGAGATCGGTAAACCTATATATATATCGGGCCTTGTGGGGCAAACGCAGGTTTTGCTGTACAGGCGGTCCGTTTGAACGCGTAAGGTGTGCGCGGGACACGTGAAAGTTGTACATGCGTAGCTTTGGATTGCATTGTTTTTTTTTTTTTTTTTTTGTTTCCTTCATGTTACACTTTTGTGTTCGGAGCATTTTCGGCTGATTTTCCTTTCGCGGAACATGACTATATTTATGGTTGGCATGAACAATTCGCCACCTAATGTCAAAATTAACTGGTTCGAGCGTGGTTGGTATAAAACTTATTCTAACAGCCAAATTGTGGCAGCGATACTGTCAAATGTCCATAGATAGATATACCCGAGGGGTTTTGTGAAATTCGCTAATTTTCTTTAAAAAAATATTTTCAGACACTTTCTCATCAACTCCAAAACTGGATTTTCACTTTTGAAAAGTTTAATTGAAACATTTTCCTTTTATTAAAAAATCACACTGTCCAACTCTGGAAAACTCGTTTTTATGTGGCTGTTTGCCGTTAAAAAAAATCTTATAAATCGAAACAAAACTAAAGAAAAAAAAAAGCTATTTTCTTTCAATCACTTATTTTCATTTACTTCCACGAATCAAAATCACATCGACGCCATGCAATAAAACAGCCCAGGGTGCGCCCTCCTACAGGGACCGTAATCAAGATCCAGCCGCGTTTTCCAATCAAACTTCCAGGTTATATCTTATCTCCGTATCTCTTATACCTAAGATTTT